GATGGATGGATGGATGGATGGATGGCTGGATGGATGGATGGATGGATGGATGGATGGATGGATGGATGGATGGATGGATGGATGGATGGATGGATGGATGGATGGATGGATGGATTGATGGATGGATTGATGGATTGATGGATTGATGGATTGATGGATTGATGGATTGATGGATTGATTGATTGATTGATTGATTCCTAAACAACCGCCCATCCATATCTTGATTTACATTGCGTTTAAATTACGGCAGCAGAAGCTAGCTGTAGCACTTCCGGAGCAGCCTGAGTCACAAAACAGCCATGAAATGCCAAACTGATGCTGGTGTAAAGGCCCCGCTTGGACCAGCCATAGCTCATCAATGCTGTCAAACTTAAACTCAATTTCTTCAAACTGAGATCATTCAAAAAGTTATCCTCAACAAGTAAGATATTTATTGCTCGTGCACACATCATCACACTTCAAATCGTCTGAAATACAGTACTTTTTTTTTTTTTTTTTTTTTTTTAAGAGAACAGAGTTTACAAAGAAGCTTTCTAAATAATTTTACAGGAGGAGCTGCAGCAATGAGAAAACACGTTTTTCAAAATGAAAGCATGCAAACCTAATTTAAACCCTCAAAGCGAAAGATTACATGAATACTATCGACTCGTTAAGCTTTTAAAAGTAATTAAAGGGTTTTTCTTTTCCGCTTTAAACACAAACTGATAATAAAACAAACTGTTTTTTTATTTTTTTTTACTGATAATTAAATGTAAGCAATGAAAACTTGAACACCCAGATGTTTTCTATCAGTTAGACTTCCAGATAACTGAAATGAAACTGGGGTTTGACGCGGAATTCATCGCATGACACTGATGTTTCAAAGTTTACGAGCAGCACTTGAAAGCAGCATTCGAACTTCTGTCTGGGCTGCGCGCGCTCTGTCGGAGGGGGCTGAACTTCAGCAGGACGCGTTTATTACTGCGCTCAGATAGTTGGGGATGCTTAAATAACTGGAGGAGCAAACGCAACGAGTCCATCAGGTGATCATGAATTTTAGAGAAGATCTTAACCAGGACTGTCTCTCAGCTGTTTGCGTTTAAAGAGAGGAAAGTTTCCTTCAAGTAATTAAGGGTGAGTTGAACTTGGTCTGACATTGGAGTCTGCTTTACATTTAGAAAAGTCACTTTATATATATATATATATATATATATATATATATATAATCTTTCACTTTTTATTTATTTATTGGCTTTTGGTGAGGCAGTGAATCTTTATGAGGTAATGTTCACCCACTGCCATTGTTTATTCTGGTGAAATGATTTTCTGTTTGTTTTATTGCTCTGTAGGAGTTTTTGTTCTAAGGCAAAATCATGTTCACAACCTACATAAAGAGTCTGAATGATTTGGTATTTTCTACGGTAAGCTTATAAGCACCATTGCATGTCTTTGCTAGTGCTAAGAGATGCATGGCAGCAGTAGAAATGTCTATTTTCTTAGAACCGCCAGCCTGCCCACCCCCCCCCTTTTTTTTTTTTTTTTTTAGCAATATAGACAGTTTGCACAATTACAAATAACATCCTGGTTGTACTTTTTAATTTATTTACTAAAAAAAATACTATAAGTTCAAATATTTTCAGTTGCATGTTTCCTAACTCATTCATAAATGTGTAAATTAATATTAATCTGATTTATTTATCTTCTAAATTTGCTTTAGTCTGAGAGCCCTGAAGAGCAGCCGAGTACTGGAGTGTTGGGTCGTATCGGCAGTTGGTTCTCTCCATGGAGGGGAAATGCTCCAAAGTCTCCCAGTGAAAATGCATCCTCACCTTGTGACTGGACTGAGAACACAGGAGAGGATGAGGAGGATTTTGTGAGAGCCCACGCAAGGGAACAGCGCTGGCAGGACTGGAACACTAGTCCACTCTTCAAAAGTGTTCTCCCTTGTGAAGAGGAGGACGCCTCGCAGTCTGCCCACAGAGACGGCTCTGTTGTGAGCTGCACTGAGACAGGAGAAGGACGTCCAAGAGAGGAGGAGCGTGAGCCGTGGAGGAAGCAAAGAACAGGGCAGGGCGAAGAGAGGGTGGAGACCAGCAACGGTGCATCATCAAGTGGAAGTTCTCAGAAGAATGTCAGTCATCTGAGACATCTGTCTTCTTCGTCTACGCAGGGAGTGGCGTGGGACTTTGACCAGGCCCATACCCAGACTCACGCACACAGACGAGCACAAACAGGCAAGAGGCTCCACGTGTACCTGGAGGAGACCAGCGTGAATCTGAGTGACCAAAACAAGTGTGCTGGAAAGGAAGTTGTCTGCACAACAGTCAAAAAAAGCTTACAGGTTTTTGCAAGGGCAAAGTCATCACCGTGTTTTGATTTACCGAACAGTTCGAGTCTAAGTGCAGAGAAAAATGTAACACCGGCTGTCGGTGCACAGAGTTATTATAGTACTCTAGTGGGAGTGTCGCTAAAACCACACAAAGGCTCCCAGTCTGAGCCTGAGTCTGAAAGAGAACAAACTGAGGCGGACGACATGGGCCGTAAAAATGCCAACCGAAGGAGAGTCAGGAAGAACTCTCAGGGAGATGGAGGGAAGAGTCCTGTGGAAAAAAAGACGGGAGATACTCAGGCTGCAGAAGTATTCTCCCCGTCAGACAGCTCAGCGACCAGTCCCCTGAGCACAAGTCCAAATGTTCACCTTAAAGAGGCATCTGAAGACTCCTCCTTTAAGCCCAACCCAACGTTACAGGTTTTACCTGAAGGTGGAGAATGTGATAGTCCCTCCTCAGATATGGTCAAGCACTTGGACAACTTCCAGGATTCACTCTCAGTCGCTGGAGTCACTGAGGCGCACCTGGATGGTTTTTCAAACATGGACCAGGACGACAGTTTTTACAAAGTCGAGAGGAAGACGGAGACGCCGGAGTCCAAACGTAGGAGCATCAAGGTTTCTCGGAGTGAAGTGAAGCTTTTTACAAAACAGGTTCCTTTTGTTCCAAAGCTCAACCCAGCAGCTGAAGTTTTAGACACTGCAATAAAGAATACCACAGATGGAGCCGAAGATAAGCCCAAAACAAAGACTAATAAGAGGTAAGTTAAGATTTTAAATGGAAAAAACACTGAATCACAAGTGAATTGAACAGTGATTCTTTGCATTTCCTTAAAATATTAGTCCAGCAACTAAAAAATACAACTTTATTGGGGATAAAAAAAAAAAAAAAGTTTTGTACTTTCCTTAAATCCTATTTTGCTTGCCTTTTGCTTTTGTCTGCCATGACCTGGCTCTTAGTGGTAAAATTAACACAGGTGTTTCCACAGTGAGAGGGCGGCATGAGTCATAACACAAAGTTCAGCTCTGTACCTTGGATTAGTCTAGATACAGTAAAGATGTGATTCTGAGGTCAAACAAATCTCAGTGCAGTTAAGGAAGCTTTTAAAGAATACTTTTAAAATGGTACATTTAATCTTTTCAGACTTCCTAACACAATGAAGATCGTTGAAGAACCTAAAGCTTCTGTGGGACGGATTGCGGCTAAAATTAGCCTCTTTGAGCGAAAGCAGCAAGATACGACCATCCAAACCCCGAGGAGTGCCGACGTCTCGCCAGTCACAGTCACAGGCAGGATTAAAGCAGATATTTTTTCATCAGAGCAGAGGTCAAGATCAACTGAACATTCTGACAAACCAAAGTCTGGCCCCACATCACTGAACAAGGAGACGCCAATAACAATCAAGGAGCGAGCAAAAGTATTTGCAGAAGTGAGCAAGTTAGAAGAAAAACCAACTCAACAAACACCACCAATAACAGGAACATCTCAAGAATCCTCTTTGGCTTTAGCAATTTCAGGATCAAAGTCATCAGAACTGGGTGATCAGGACAAACTGGATGCAAACGAGCCCATAGCTATTAAAACAACACCAGAGATAAGATCAAAACCAGATGGACTGGGTAGTTATGCTGTTGGGGAGCATTTATCCCCTTCAGAGATGCAACTAATGGACTCTAAAACAAAAGAAACGACAGAAGAACAGCACACAAAACCAAACATTATTGAACACAGTGATCCAGCTAGTTTAGCACATTTGACCAATAGCACAGCCCCACAACCTAAAAGCCCTAACCGAACAAGCTCTCGCTCTAAAAGAAGGAAAAGCAAAGAACCAGCCAGTCCCAGAAGCCCAAATAACCAAATCAAAGATAAAACTATTAAACAGGGGGAAGCAGATAATACAGACGAGGCGCCTTCTGCTTCCAAACCACTTCCAGAAACGATGTCATTAGCATCTCAAAAACTCCCAGAAGATACATCAGCTGTACAGCCTCCAAATGATGTTAAACAGGAGATATTAAAGAGCGATACAGAGGGATCAGCCAAACAGACAGTGTTGCATACTTCATTTGAAGCAAAACGTACTGAAAAAATGCTAAACGAGCAGGAGGGATCAACTGAAACACCTGTCAACAGAGATGAACCTGATACTGCTGCTCTTACCAGTGGAACAAAGGAGACTATAGACAAGGAGGTTGATATTGTACGCCAACAGGAGGAAAAATTAGAGGAACACAGCCTCGCATTCACATCAGAAAGAAAAAAGGTTTTAGAGGACAGCAGTGAAATTTCCACCCCCTCCCTGTTAACAACCTCCTCATCTGAACAGCATCATGAGAAGCCTCCTGCCGCAAAGCAAGAGTCATCTAACGGACAACCTAAATTGGATAAAGCCTCATCAGTGCAGCCCGAATCAGAAAGTAAACAAAAGGGAAAGACAAAAACACAGCAGCCTCCAGGCTCGGACACAGAGCTAACAAATCAAGCTGAGACTGAAGACGGTGCAAAATTAGAAATGGTGGGCAGCAAGGAAACAAATCAAGTCAAAGAAAAAACACAGCAGCTCATGCTTTCAGACAAAAGCGCCACAAAGGACGGTGCTTCCCGCAGAGGACTAAGTAGCTCAGGGAAAGAGAGGAGTGTTGAAAAAGCCAAGCAATTAGAAACACCCTGTCAGTCGTCTGAAAGGACTAGTGGATCACCAGCCCTCCCTGTTCAAACACAGAATGCCACCGTGACTCCTGAAAATCCTATTTGTACAACCATCCGGACTAATGAGGCTGTGAGGAACACTGAGAGTGATAAACAGCCTCGAAAGGTGGAGACAGCTATAGATGTGCCTCCTGAGTCACAAACACGATCCACAGAAAGCTCTGAAACTGAAAGAAAGTCAGTGGTGACTGCAGCTGAGCCCCCACATGGATCTGCATCTGTGGAAAAAACAACGAGTTTGCTCAATGACTCATGCGCACATGAAGCTAATGATGCAGGGTTCTTCAACTCCAAACCTATTACCAAAGCTGCTGCATCCGATGAGGGCGTAAGAGCAGAGGGCACTAATGACACTCCAGTGCTCATACCTGCCCAGATCGCCATGACACAATCAGTAAAGTCAGATTCATCAAAGCCTCATATTTCTGACTGTAAATCAACAAGGACAGAAGTAGGGGACAGTGATTTACAAAGAAGTCCCATGCCCTCAGAAGGAGTAAACACAAAACCAGATCTTAGCCACACCTCCGATGACAGATCAAAACATAAAGAGAACAGTATTAACATCTCTTCAATTAATGATGCAGAGAAAATAACTCAGACCGGCTCTGGTAGCAGCTCGTCTATCTGCACCAGTAATGAAACCAACAAGGCAGCAGAGAAAAGGCTCACCCAGCCAGTGGATAAACTTTTACCTGTTGCTAATGGCGATATCCCCCCACATTCACAGCCGCCCCACACAGTCAAAAAGGAACCAGCAGATGGAAAAATGATCCCAACTCCAAAAGCTCCTTCTTTACCAGAGGCTAATAAGTCAATTCCTGACTCAATGCACCATTCATCCATGAAAAAACTCACTTTGCCAAAGAAACTAATGAAAACTGATTTCTCGCAACAGCAAGATTCCCCCTCTAGCTGGCTAGACATAGATGTTCCCAAACGCAAACTTAAAGTCTCCGAGGCAAAACTGACCTCTTCTGGAAGTGAGAGCAATCTCCTGGACACTTCCGGCGAGCTAGATGATGACGATTTTGTGGAAAGAATCAAAAATCTCTGTGCTCCTTTCTCCATCCCGCCACGTAAGCACAACCACATTCGAGCACCTCAGCCTTCCTTTGCGATGCCGGCCATCAGAGAGGACCGCTTTGAGAAGACGTTCGACCCTGAGGAGTTCACATTTGGCTTGAGAAAGAAGACTCAGCTCGCTTTAGACACAACTCCAAGCCTTCTAGTGAAGCTTCAGAGCACTGAGACGAAATCTGGCCTCATACCGGCCAGGGTTAGCGTTGCTGAACGGAGCATGCTGCTCAGTGGCTTTGACACTCTCTCGCACCTCAAGGACAAGAATGCTGTCAAGGATGGGGAGGACACAAAGGAGGAGAAAGATGATCAGATAAAGGTGAAGTCTCGCTTGGAGAAGAGCTCTATCCTCAGCAGTCTCGCCTCTTCCAGCTTTAGAGGGAAGAGGAATGAATCTCAAACACAGGCAGAGGGCTCAGAAAATGTGTTGCTCTGCAAAGCCCCCCAGCTCAGCCCTCTGCTTTCACCCCAGCCGGCCCCACCAAGCCCTACAGCTACAATCAAAGACACACTAGCAAAGCAGAGCAAAGAGGAAGCCCAGGCTGCAGAGACTGCGGTTGGTGACTCAGGCCCTCCACTTCCTTCTTTTAACGACATCAAGCTGCCGGACTATTTGGAGAAGTACCTCCCACAGGATCAAGCTAAAGCAGCGCAGAGCGTACGAGGACAAGTCAAACCAGAGGTTAGTTGAACTCTGTCTGCATGAGAATGATCTAAATGTCGGTGCAGTTGAGACAAGTTGAAGTTAAGCAACGTTATAATCTGAAAAACACCAAAAAGATGACCGTAGAATGACGTTTAAACAACAATAAGCTTCAAGTTGTTCATTTTGAAGGCAGAGACATTCCGCCTGATGTTTTTCTGTTTATGCCTGCAGCTAACAGAAAAAATGGCATCTCCAGCTTCTGAAGCTAAGGCAGACAAAGTCTTGAAACCAAGTCTGGTTCCTGACGCTGCAGCTCCTGGTTTTCCTGGGATTCCTCCAACTACACACGCTACACTTCCTGAACTCAAGCAGCCTTTGACTCAGCCACACAACACATTCAGAAACCATGTAAGTGTGTATTAAACTTTGTATGTATGTAATGGAGCATCTGGTTTACTATTATGAGTTAAGATTTAAGTATTGACTTTGACTTTGGCATGGTGACTACTTTTGTCTTTAATTTTCCTTCAAACTGCACCGCATGGAAATTTGCACGGAAATTTTTATACATTCAGTTGTTTTTCTCCATTCGTGCTAATACTGTGTCTTTACCTCACTGTTCTCTTGTCTTGTTGCCATTTAGTTGGATAATAAAGGAACTGTGCTGCAACCAATAAGAATTTTGGTGATGTTTGAGAACCACGTTGTGTCAGTTCATCCAACAAAATATTTTTTTAAAGCTGCAGAGGATTTACTAGTAATGCATCACGGTTTTTTGTGTTTATGGGATTTAAAAGGCTACGTTAAAATGTTTTTACTTGTCATTTTGTGGTCAAACGCTGTTAAAGCTCACAAGTATTTATAGGCTAATCCAGATTTCCAAATATCTTGAAGGATATCCTGCTAATATTTGTTGACTTGCGCTCAAACAAACCCATGAAGGTATTTGCACAGTTCCAACTGGTTCAATCATTGTCTCTAACGAAGGCTCGAATGAGCATGTCAAGTTTTGTATGTTTTTAGTTTCAGTTAAGTTCAGGAGAAATACTTGTGAAATTTTAAATCATTTTTACTTTATTCACTTAGGCATGAAAAATGCTCAGCTGGATACTTTCATAAAAATCATCAGATTTTCTATTACAATTTTACTACAAAAACACCTGCATTTTCAGGTCTTTCGCTTTTTCTTTGGGCGGCTGTGGCTGAGTGGTTAGAGCAGTCGTCCTCCAATGCAAGAGTTGGGGGTTCGATTCCACCAGCAGTAACATGCCCAAGTGTCTCTGGGCAAGACAATGAACCCCTCATTGCCTCCGACGTGTGTCCCATCAGGGTATGAACGTGATAAAGCTCTGATTATTCTTTGTATAGAAATAGTGGAGTGCTGTAAGAATGGGTAAATGAGGATATAGATCGTAGTGTAAAGTGCTTTGAGTATCTTGATAAGATAGAAAGGCGCTATATAAGTACAGTCCATTTACCATTTTTCTTGGAAGTTGGAGTTAAAAAAAATCGATTTTCTTAAATCAGAATAAAAAAAGGACCAGTCAGAGGTCCTCAACCAACCCCAACCTCTGAATCCAATATGGTGGCTGTTTGCAGCACCATGGGAGCTTTTCGCTTCATGCATAAGCGTATAAATAATCAAAAGATGACAAGTGAGAAATCTATTTGGACAAACCTATTACAGTTTTACTTACTGTAATTTGGAGAGTTTTGCGATCTAGATCACTTTTGTCTCTATTAAACTCCTCTGATTTTTGTGCACCTATTATCTATCCATCCATTATCTTTTACCCACTTCTTCCTTTTTGGGTCACTGGTGCCCATATCCAGCAGTCACTGTGCGAGAGGCGGGGACACCCTGGACAGGTCTCCATTCCATCACAAGGACACATGGAGACAAACAACCATTCACTCTCTCACCCACACCTAGGGACAATTTAGAGTTACCAATCAACTTAACATGCATGTTTTTAGTCTGTGGGAGGAAACTGGAGTACCTGGAGAAAACCCACGCATGCACGGAGTTAACATGCAAACTCTACCCAGAAATATCCTGGGCTAGGATTTGAACCATGACCTTCTCGCTGACAGGCAACAGGTCTACTAACTGAGCCACACGCCGGTGTTCTTATTATATTTCTGACAATAGTCAGATACCATTAACACATCATCGTAAATAGACATTTTCTTCAAAAATAGGCATGTTTTAATAACATTGATAGGAGTTCAACTCCAAAGAAGGTCTCTGGGTCTACGCTGAACTGCTTGTGACACCACATTTCAGTTTCATTTGCAAATGTTGGCTTCTACAGCTGCAGTAATAAACATTTTATTTTCACGTCTGTCAGTTCAAATACCAACAAATCAGCCACACACACAAAGTACTTTACAGTCTCTATTAGGAAACATTTCTACAGACTTTAAATGCATAATGTTTTGTTATCGGCTTTTGTTACTAACAATAATTAGCCTGATTACAGAGCAAAACAATGAGATAATCTTACTGGTTTTTCTACCTGTAACATTTAACATGGAGAAGTTGAATGTTGTTATTCCCAGATCTGATTTCAAACTTCTAAGGTGAATGAATTGCAGCGTTACAACTTTACCTCATTAGTTTAGTTTTTATTTTATTTTAATTTACTGTGAGAACAGCTTTTAATTACAAGTACCCCACATGAACCCACGCAATTTTTTATTCTGACATAATTTTGTTGTGCGATTTCTAAACCACAGGCTTATCTGTAGTCAAACTTCACTTTTTCACATTTAGAAGAACCTATTAGTTAATTAAATATAGGACACCCAAACATATTTATTTTGGTTTTCTCATTAAAAGATACCTGTTTAAAGATTAATAGTGTTGATTTGGTGTTTTTGGTTGATGGAGCTGTGTCAGGTATTGAAACACTATTTGAAGCGTCAAACTTACAATTAGCTTTAGAGTTTGAGGAAGTCATTCTGTTTTTGGCTCGTTGGCTCCTGTGTGGCATCTCGGTCGTGAATCAGAGCTGTCTACTTCCCAAACACCCACTGTGTCCACAAGTAAACAGAAAAGGCTGAGATTACCTGCAGACGCAGAGCTGGTGCACAAACTAATCAGCATGTTTCACTTTTTTTCTTCTTCTTTTATAGAAGTTGCCTGCGCTCTGTGGTGTTTGTCACAATCTTTACTATGTGTGCTTTTTCATTCCAGATAAGAACCGTCAAGGGATTTCACAAGCGCCCTGGAAAGGTACAGTAGTCACAGCTTTGCCCACACTGAATGGAAACAAGACGGAGAGAGAGGAATCTAAACAGACAGCGCTTTGTTTTGTGAAAACTTCTGCTTTTCATCTGGTGTTCTTGGGGGTAAACTAGTGTAAATTCTCAGCTGGATACGATTACATTCATGGCATTTAGTGCTGCGGAGGCAGTGCTAATGTTGCAGTTGTTGCATAAATATATTCCCCCAGTGTTCAGTAAATTTAGTTTCTTGCCTAATTGAGAGTTAACAATATGTGATCGAGGTCCATTATATTAAAATAAAGATTTAAAGTAGATTTTGTTTAAGATTTGCAAAGGAGGGCTTTTGACATGACGAATAGGAAAAGGGGTGTGTTAGTCTTCAAAGTACAGTAGTTCCATTTTTGCTGTTTATTTTTGGATTTTCTTTATGTTTTAGGTTGCAATGAGTTGTTACATTAACAGTGCATGATTGTGTGCCTGGAGCTTTTTTTTTTTTTTTTTTGGTTATGAATCAACTATTTGTCTGTAGTAAACACATCCATAGCAAAACATCAGCATCCATTGAATCCTGGCTTTAAATGCCAGATTGGGCATTTGATGCTTTCATTTCTCTGTATGCATAATGTGTTGATTTTTTTTTTTTTCCACGCGCTGCCCTTCATCTCTCTCTCTGCAGTTGGTGCTGTTTGAAAAAGCTCAGTTCGATGGCCAAGCCTATGAGATTTACAGTGATGTAGCAGATGCTTCGTCTCTGGAGCTCTCGCCTCTCATATCTGTGAAGGTCGTGAGAGGATGGTGAGTATTATTTAAAAAAAAAAAAAAGAAGAAATTTTCAGATGAAAATGTGTGGTGAAAGATAGTTCTAATTAATGTCAAGTGTCTTGGGAGGCTGAGGGCGGCTGTTAGGGCTTCTCGTGGGATTAATTTAGTGAAATGTCACAATTTAGAGCCCCATCTTTTCCTTACGGAGCCCTTTTGTGCACAATTTCTCTTAGGAGCTTTTTCTGTTTACAAGAGTGTAGAAATATACCGCACCCTTGTGGCCTGAGGGCTGTGACCCAAAGCGAGAGGACGGATTTAGCCAAGATTTTCCAGCTTGAGTTCAGATGTGACTATTGATAGGAATCCACGTGGTCCAATTAACCATCAGGATTGTTTGTTGTGTAATTAGCCACCTGGAGAAAGAATAAAAGACAGGCTTTTAGTTTTATAACCTTGTTTTGTTTGGTACAATTTTAATCCATTTGGCTTTTCTTTAAGGAATTCAGTGTTTTAAGTATTCTGCACTCCTTTTGTTGGCCTGCACAAAAATATCAGTGCAATCCTCTTAAAGGGATATTCTTGTCATTTTTGAAGGGATTTGTCAACAGGTTATCAATATTAAGTCCCTTATCAGCCGTGACATTTGTTATAGGTCATGGAGCATGGAGGGGAAAAAAGGCAGAAGTATTTTTAGGCTAATCAAAAAACAGAAGTTCTCCAAAGTGGCATATTGGTGTGAAAGAACCCCACCTTGGCTGAAAGTGAACTTTTTCATGGCTTCGTTTGACGCCGTTTTCTGAACCACACAAGATTCGTGTTGCTCCTCAAACGTACGCACCGAGTACGAACCCTGAAATAGACCGTGGATGTGCTGATGGTGCTGAGAGGCTGTGAATGTATCAGACTCGGCAACATCAGCATTCGGCGTATTTCACCGAGTTTAAGCTCGGCGCACACATTTACATCGGAACATTGTTTGGTTGAGAAGACGACGTCAAACTAAACAAACGATATCAAAATATGTCTCTCACATTGGGATGTCTTTTTTGAGAAATAGTTTTTTAATGAGCCTGAAATGGATGAAGACTTTTGGTCCACTGCTGCCCATATCCAGCTATCACTGTCTGAGAGGCGGGGGACATCACAGGAACACATAGAGACAAACAACCATTCACTCTCTCACTCACACCTAGGGACTATTTAGAGTTACCAATCAGTCTAACATGCATGTTTTTGATCTGTGGGAGGAAACCAGCGTATCCGGAGAAAACGCACACATGCACAGAGAGAACATACAAACTCCACCCAGAAGGGTCCCGAGCGGGGATTTGAATTGGTGACCTTTTTGCTGAGAGGCAACAGCTCTACCAACTGATCCACCGTGCCGCTCACAAAAGATAATTTAAAAAAAATGACGACTTCCTTTAAAGTTGGGGTGCACCAATAAATCGGCTCTGATTTCCTTAATTTTGGGAGACCGGCTGACATGACAAACCGATTTTACAGATTTTTTAAAAATAGTTTTAACAAACTAAACTTCATTTATATTTCAGAGCACTACCTCATGGCCAGTTAAAACAAGTTTGTATTGTTTCTAGTATATTGTTCAAGGGTATGTTTTTCAATAAAATAAGACTGGAAAATTGAAGGTGTGAGCTTATAACACCTGACAGTGTCGCTTATAAAACAAAATCGTTATCGGCAGGTCAGGCCTTTTAGAGATCGAAAACTGCCATCGGTGCACCCTTATTTATAACTCTGCAGTCTTCATAAATGTCTGAGGATCATTAAATTCCACTATCATTAACTGTTAACTGTCAGCAGACAAGTAATAATTAAAAACAAAACTGTCTTTTTAAGTTAAAAGTATGTATAAGTAAATGTACAGTGTGTTTCAAGGCTGGTATCTGGTTGAGTAAAGCCGTTACTGTGTGCCACATTCTTCTTCCTCGTTTTTCAACAGCAGCCATGTTTCCTTCATATTTCATTTCAGCCTTCCGTAGATAAACGTTGCTCAAAGTAGCTTCAACATTTGCCAGTCATTTGTGTCCTCATGGTTTGCAATGCAAGACATGTTTTCTCCTCCTCAGCCTGACAATCATTGCTGAACATATAAAACTGGGATGCACTTACTAGACCAAAGAGATCACTTTCTCATCCTTAGTGCATCTACCTATTTACTTGTAGATGTACTTTTGTGCGTTTTTTATGTGCTTTTATACAAATACATACTAGAAACATAGCGTAATGTGATTTTGTTTTTCTGCAGTATTTAATTTTCAAGCTATTGTAGATCTATGCAGTATAATAAGGCTGTCCTAAAACAAGCTAAAGAAAAGCAAGTTACATTAATTTTTTTATATGGAGCTGAATAACTGTTGAAGAAAAAATAAAGACCAAGTAAAACTATGATGTTGTTAAGCTGCCTTTAGTTAAATGAGGTCAGAAATAGAACAATAGAGAGGAAATTATAAAGATAAAAATAATAATATTAATAAAAAAAAACAAAGATTTGACCTTTAGCAGCCACTCCAAAGTAAAACCAACATTTTCTCATCTCGAACAAACAAAGAATTAAAAGTCTATTTTCCAAGCAAGGCTTGGTTAAATCTTTTTATGGCAGACTAAATAATGAGTAACCATAATGAGATTTATGTTTTAAATTAGAGCTTTTAGTGGTCCAGATGAATCATATTGTTTACAAAGACATTTTTTTGCACATTTGCTTCCTCTTTTCCGTTTTGCGACTTCGCCTGTTTGCCTCTTTTACCTGATTGGACGTGTGTTTGTACCACAGCTGGCTGCTCTACGAGAAGCCTGGCTTTCAGGGCCGCATCATCGCCTTGGAAGAAGGAGGCACTGAACTGGAAAACGTGTGGGCAGATCTGGGACCGGAAACTGAACCGCACGACGTTCCGCCGATGATCGTCGGCTCTGTTCGACTTGCTGTCAGGGTGAGCTCTCCGATTTGCTAACTTCCCCTCTGTTTGCCTTTTAACTTCACCTCACATCAGATCTTAAATTGCTTTGTGGAATTCAGTCGGGACTCGGGAGTAGAAGAGTCTGTGACTCATCTAATCACTTGTTTTCTCTGGGAGGAATCATTGAAGGATTAGTGTTGGCCTCTGCTAATTATTGCTGTTTTTCTCCCTGTTCTGCAGGATTACAGCATCCCCCACATAGATCTTTTTACTGAACCAGAAGGCTGCGGCAGAGTGACACCTTACCACGACGACGCTATAGAGACGGGCTCATTCGGCATTCCACTCAATACCGCTTCCATCAGAGTGCACTCTGGGGTGTAAGTATGAACGCTTTTAGAGAATTTCTATTTGAAATCTAAAACACAGGAGTGTTTTTTTTTTTTCCACATAGTCAACGTCAAATTGATTTTTTAAGTTATCTTTAGTAGGGGTTGCTTTTTGGATCAATTTAGTTGAAGTTCCAAATGGTCTGAAAATGAAAAGTGACACTCAACTCTTGCAGCGTTGAACGTTGGAGCAACCCACTTTAGTCTGAGAACAAAGGCACTGCCTGCAAATATGTGCAAGGTTCACATATTTGTGGGCACCAACTGTAAAAACACGAGCATAAATTACCAATCAGAGAACGTGTTGTTATAAACTGGAAATACTCATTTAAAAAGGGATTGTTTTGCTCTGGGAGCACACATGCTTCAAACTTTGGAAGGCTAAAGCAGTGGTTCAGTTGTTTTATTGTGGAGTTCTGCAGAAATTTTTATGAACAGTCAATATCTTAACTGCTGCACATAGCTCTTGGAACAAAATCAGTTTGGAGGAAATTAGTTAAATTAATTGAACTCCTTAATTAATTCTGACTAGAGGGGAGTGGTGGCGCAGACGTTAGAGAAGGTGGGCATGTGTTCGGAAGGTCGCTGGTAGGCCTGTCGCGATAAACAATAAATCAATTAATCGCACAATAAATGAAAATTATCAACGTTATTTTCATTTATCAGCTTTATCGTTTCTTCGTGTCTCTCTCTTTCTACTGAAGACACTGGATGACAAAAGGCTCAACTCCGGTGCTCCTCACTGACCCCTCCCTTTCTCTTTTCACCTTGAAATCCATTTTAACCGTTCAAAATCCTGTTATTGGATCGATAAAAGCAGCTAAGCTGAGAAGCTAAGCTACGAGCTAAGCTAACAGGCCAACCTCGGGGAAAAAAACCTCTGTATTGTTGAAGCTCCAAAATTCACAGTTGAAACCTGTGCCTTCATGTAAAAAATTGTTTTTCTCTGCAAAAAGAAGCTGAGAACTTGTTTACTGAGTTTTTTATTAAAAGCTTCATGTGAAAAATGCTATGCTAAAAAGCTCAAACCACACTAAGCATCCGCCATTTTGAGAACCGAAACTAAGGAAGGAGTGACAGCTCATGTCATGTCAAGGGACCTCCCTCCCATTTTTCTTAAAGAGACATGCTGCTCGCTCCCTCACTGTCCATCCTTCGATTCAAACAGTCTTATACTGCCATCCGGTAGTCGAAAAAAGGTACTACACTCAAAACAAATTAACCAGCATTTCTTCTTAAATTTGACTATAATTACTAATTATTGTCAAATTTCATACAATATTATCATTTATCGCAATAATTTTGGAGACGATTAATCGCCCAGCAAAATGTGTTATCGTGACAGGCCTAGTCGCCGGTTAAACTCTCCTTACTGACATCAAAATGTGGGTGGGAAAGGTGAAACACCCACACCTGTCTCCACTCTCAGTTGCGCCATTCTGGGCCCTTGAGCAAGACCCTTGACCACCACCATCTGCTCCCCTGGGTGCCCTAGATAGCAGCTCTTTGCTCCACACAGAGGGCTGTGGTAGCTCGGTGGTCTGTGGTTGCATCAGGACGGGCATCCGGTGTAAAAACAATCACCAAGTCGTCATGCGAGTTGGTTCGCTGTGGTGAACCCTGAAGAAGGGAGCAGCCGAAAGAAAAAATAAATAAAAAAAATCTGACTTAGACTGATGAACTCACAGCTAGTCCAACTATCCCACTGATTTGCATTAAAGTGTATAGTTATTTGCTAAAGAAAATAGCAGCAGCAGCTAGCTGTAGCACTCCCATTGCAATCAGTATAATAATGTTAGGGTGTGGCGCAGTGGTAGGGCAGCCAACTTGGGACCAAAAAGTCACAGGTTCAACTCCCTGCCATGCCCACATGTCGTGGTGTCCTTGATCAAGACATCTAATCTCTAACTGCTCCCTGGGTGCCTACATAGCTGCCCGCTGCTCCACCTGGGTGTATCTCATGTGTCATGGGTTAAATGCAGAGCACAGAAATTGATGGCAATGACACACCTTTAATGGTCTTGGTCTTTCCACATATCGCCCTGATTCAAAAGACCTGAACGATCATTTTAAAATGTACTGTCACATAAACACACAGAATTATAGGCACTTTCAAACCCTGCGATAATTAGTTGATTCAGTTCAGGAAAATGTACAACACGAGCAATTAGAGTCGAGTTAAACTGCACCTCGTCATAAAATAATGACGGCTTTAGGTGCTGATAGACAAAAGGCTTACAAGCGAATCACACACTCCCAGTTGTTCTTGATAAGTTTTTTTTAGTTTATGATTTTTCTCAAGAGGTTCGGTGAAGAATGGAAATCCTTTCTGCGTCGACGAGAGAGCGATAATAATCGTTGCTTTGTTCCTTTGTGTTTATCTGTGGTCTGGGCTCTCATTTGCGAGCGGAGGAATGCCTGTCCTGCTGTTGCATGTCAAAAAAGGGGAAAGGTGGAGACTAGACGGGGTGTGAAAAACAGACAGAATGGTTTGGTTTTTTTCGCACGAGAAGCGTTCACAAAATTTCGCGCCCTGCCCCAGACGGTAATGAACAGCGTTAAACCTCTGTGTGCCCACAGTACTTTTTGTGGTTTTGTCTTGGCACGTTTAGTAGAACGTTCTCATGTTGAAAACAGTTTTAGTGTCTCTTGAAATAATTAAAAATCCATAGTGGTCGGTGTCAGGTGCCGGCTCGTTTCTGTTCAGCAGAGTAAAGCTGCCTCAGCTGTGCTGCTTTGGTGCACATTCTGCGACATGTGGAGACAGCTGTGCACCAGACGGGGTTTCTCCTTGTCTATATGAGCAGAGCTATGTACTGGCTCCTGTTATTGTATAACTTTTAGCAGAATGAAGTTGCTATTTCCTCATGATATCACATTCATAACTATCTGAGAGATAAAAAGCTTAATCATCCAGGTATATAACAACAAAAATGTTTAAATTGTGTCATCTGGACCAGTTTCTTTAAGTGAGAAAGGTTTCGTCTCCCTTCTGGAAGACTTCGCCAGTCTCCCATAGGTAGCCTTCACTGCTGTGTTTCAAGCCAACCTCCTGTGGAAGTAGGCTTTTAACACGTGCAAACAGGGCCCACCCGTCCACAACAATCAAACGTCATGTGCAACAATCAAATATTTTAGGCTAGATGGCCAACTTGCTACTCAGAGAAACAGCCTGAGGACAAACAAGTTCAAGTATCTTTATTATCCCCGAGGGGCAATTAGTTTCACAGTCAGTAGATATAAAACATCCATACTACACAAGACATTAAGACATTAAAATAACAATACCTAAGTCATCAGTGTTTATTGAGAAACCTGATCACCACAGGGGTGAATTAGTTCTTCACTCTGTTGTTCTACATCTGGGCAGCAGATATCTGTGTCCAGATGGAAGCAATCTGAACACACCATGGAGTGGTGATCAGGATCTGCCAGAATCAGCCTGGCCTTGTTCACTGACCTCGTTATGTGTAGGTCAGTGAGGTTCTGTAGGGCTATGCCAGCAGTTTTACTGCACATCCTGACAATCCCTGAGAGTTTGTTCCTGTTTTTGCATGGTAACAATCCAAACCAAGAGATGAAGGTAAAAATTAAGAGACTCAATAAAACATCCTCATGAAAGTAGAATCAACAGTTTCCGATAAAACATCCATTCTCTGGTGGACCTTTTTACAAAGTGAGTTCACATGGGGGTCAAAGGTCAGTTTGTCATCAAGAACTGTTCCCAGATATTTATAATGGATGCAAAACGATGCAAGGCCAAAATGGTTGCCTTTTTTGTTGTTATCTACCCGGATGATTGAGTTTACAACCTTTTTTCGGAACCATTTTGGCCTTGGCTGTTCTGTGAGTAGCAAGTTGGCCATCTGGCCTAAAACATTTGATTGTTATACATGATGATTGATTGTTTTGGATGGGTGGGCCCTGTTTGCGTGTGTTAAAAGACTACTTTTGAGATTCCACAGGAAGTTGTCTTGAAACACAGGCTACTTAAGGGACAGATCTGGTTGGCAGGTCGCAGACTGACAAAGTCGTCCAAATGGGAGACAAAACCTTTCTCACTTAAAGAAACTGGTCCAGATGAAATGATTTAACCCTTTTTTTTATCTGAGAAAAGTTTTATTCTGCCGCAGATGTGGTAAATGGCATGAAGCAGTGTCTGGTGTCTCTAAATGCAGGCATGAAGCTTGATTCCAGCAAAAGCTGCCAACCAAGAATAAAAAAAGAAACGTGGAAGAAAAAAAAAAAAAGAAGCTTTGATCAGAAGCATGCCATTCCCAAGCTATTTAGTCTAAAACAAACAAATGTTTCTCTCTGCTCCGCAGCTTCATGACTCATATCTGAGGGAGAATAAAAATAAACTCAAATAGAAGAATTGCTTGACTTGCGATACACGCTGCGTGCAGGGGAAAGTTTCTAATATCCATGGCCACGCTGTGAAAGGAAAACCTTCTGCTTCTTTCTCTGTAAGAAAACAAGCATGGGTAAACCAGTTATCAGAATCTGGACCATCCACTGGTTTATAAAAGCAACAAACTCAGTATTTCTTCTAATCCACTGCAGGGTGCATAATTGGTCATAATTTAAAGTGACCTTTTGACCTATAGATAAATGAACTTAAAATATGTCTGTTTCTGCTTCCCTCAGGTGGCTGCTGTACAGTGACCCGGGGTTTGAAGGCATGGTAGCTGTTCTGGAAACAGGCGAATATCCTGTTCCTGAGGCTTGGGGCTTCGACTCACCCTTCGTGGGATCCCTCAGAGCACTAAAAATGGTGTGTATTGATCATAGCAGAGGCTAGATACGGTTGATGTTAGCCATATTGGTTACAGGGTTTTAAAGAACCGCATGTTGGTGTATATTTTTTAATAATTTAGTGTACTGACGTTGATGATTCTCTTATTTTTTCAATCTTCTTTGCTTGAGGTGAGTAAAAAAAAGTGTGGCAACAAATAGTCGCCATTATTAAGTATTGTGAAAGTTGCATCGCGTGTTTGTATTTCACTATAGCCAATCACATTACCCTTGTTTGTAACTGCTTGTATTTATTCTAACTGCATGGCACAAAATATCCCAGACTTTAAATGTACCATGAATACTTTAAAAAGCCTCTTAGTTTTTTGTCTTTTGCTTCTCCAACAAGGCTTTAGAGGCATTTTGTTATTTGACGTGATTATAGGCATCATGCTGAGGTTGATTTCTAGGTCACAACCGATTAGTACAAAAGAAAGTGACAATAATGAGGTACAAATCAGCCCCATGAGATAAACTTTGTGGATTGCTGTGATATTTGATACACATCCGTGGATCCTCAACAAAGTACTCTGATTTATTGATCATTATGCTAATAAATCTATTGTTCCAGCAGTTTTAAACCACAGAAAAATAAGTGACGTTTGCATCTTCTGTTGTGTTTGGTGTTAATAAAAAAAAAAAAATGCTGTGCAATTTCAGTAACACCATGTTAGACAAAAGCAAAGGAGCGCTGTTTTTGTGAGGTTAATTAGCAGCTTCAGCTAATCCCTTTTTGATTACTGCTCCTTTTTCCACTCATAGTTTTTGTGTTAACACCTTCATGTCACTTCGTTGAAACGCCCTGAATGACGCATTCTGATGCATGCGCGTTGTTGTTTTCTTTTCTACTCCTGTAATTGTGTGAATGTTTATGAAGCATTCAAACTATTGTGATCCATTTTTTTCTGTACATTTTTCGGCGCGTTTTTCATCTCGCAGTTTTCAAGCTATTTCAACAAATCACACATCAAAACGTTTCAGGATAATTCTGCTGTGACTTTTGGTATTGGTGCAACTTTAGCTTTTTGAAACATTTAGCCTTGTCTGCCATTTTTTTCTTCATAGAAAATGAGTTGAGCTCATTTTACATCCTTCAAATCTTGAGATCTGACCTTTTACTGCTCCTTTCACATTTTGTTCTGGTTCAGCTTCTTCCTTGTGCAAATTCAAACATTTTTCAGCTAATTTCAGCTAATTTCAGCTGTTTTGTGCTCCTTTCAGATTCTTTCTGCTAACTACAACATGTTTATGCTTCTTCTAACTTCTTTTTTCTACTTTCAGCTTGCTATGCTCATTTCAGCTTATTTCTGTAAGTTTCAGCTTTTTCTACTTTTTCAGCTATTTAGCTGTTTTTTTGTTGTTGCCAATTTAAGCTTTTTCAGCTAATTCCACATTTGTGGCAGTCCTCTAAACTTTTTTCAACCTTATTCAGCTAAAATTTGGTTTATCCACTTTCTTCTTGTAATTTCAGCTTCTTTCTGCCTTTTTTAGCTACTTTTCAGCTGCTTTGTGCTAATTTAAGCTTTTTACAGATAATTTCTACTTTTTGTGCTCATTTCTGCTTCTTTCAGACCAACTGGATGAACATGTTCTTTCAGCTTTTTTATGCCAATCTTGTTCTAGCTTTTCAGTTAGCGTTTTAGATTTATTTATTTTTTTGCTTATTTCAGCTGTTTTCAGATAACATCCTGATGCACGTTCAATAATCCAGGTAGAAAAATCCAAAACAGTTAAGTCTGGTCCTCTGGACATTCAAAAAACAAAACAAAAAAAATTGTAGAAACGTTTCATCTTTCATCTGAAAAACTTCTTCAGTCTGAGGAGCTGTATTCAGCTCAGTCTTATAAATAGCACCTTCTCTGAGGTGAGCAGCTGGTTTTGGCTGTCAGCAGCAAACTGGTCGATCCACTATGAGAAGGTGCTATTTATAAGACTGAGCTGAACACAGCACCTCAGACTGAAGAAGTCTTTCGGATGAAAGACGAAACGTTTCTACAATTTTTTTTGTTCCATTTTGTTTTTTGAATGTCCAGGGGACCAGACTTAACTTTTTTGGATGTTTTCAGATAAGTTCAAGTTTTCTTGGCAATTCCTGCTACTTTCAGCCAATTAACTTCTTTCTGTTAATTTCAGCTTGTTATGCTTCTTTCAGCATTTTTTTTTTTTTTTGCTAATTTTAGCTTTTTCAGCTAATTCCACATTTTTTTAGCTTATTTCAGCTATTTCCACTTTCTTCTGGTAGGTTAAGTGTCTTTCTGCCTTTTCAGCAACTTTTCAGATGTTTCACAAACAAGGTTAAATCATTTCACCTGGACCAGTTTCTTTAAGTGAGAAACGTTTCGTCTTCCATCCAGAACACTTCATCAGTCTGTGGCCTGCCAACCAGATGAAGTCTTCCGGATGGAAGATGAAACTTTTCTTCCTTAAAAAAACTGGTCCAGATAAAATGATTTAACCTTTTTTGTGTTATCTACCTGGATGATTGAGCCTACAAATCTTTTTCAGATGTTTATTTATTTTAATTTTTTTTGCTAATTTCAGTGTTTTTTTAGCTGATTTTCTAATTTTGTGCTTGTTTCTGCTGATTTAAACCTAATTCAGCAAATATTTTTATTATTTCCGCTTTCTTCTGCTAAATTAGGTTTATTATTTCATTTCAGCTACATTTCAGCATGTTTCTAGCTAATTTCAGCAGCTTTTCAGCAAGTCCTTCTGCAATAAGTATTCACACTGCATTTTCGCAGGAAATGCAATTTCTGTAGTTGAGATTACATGTTTTTTTTAAAGGAAAATGATGGATAAGATTGATGTATCTGTTCCAGGGTGGATTCAAAGTGGAGAATCCCAATGAAGTCAAGGTATGAAAAGTTAACTCATTGCTGATAAATGTTTTGTAAAAAGTAACATAATTTTATATATGTTTTTTATAATATATAATTAAACTAAAGACTGTAGCTTTTAAGCAACTCAAGTGTTAGAAACATGTTTTATAAAAACGCCTTCTGTGACGGTTGCTTTCTTTCTCTAGTAGTTGTGTTTGTTTTTGCTTTAAGACAAAACTATTTCTGCCTTACAGCAAATTCAACACGATGTGGTGGAAATTTAAAAATAGCTACAAAGAAGCAGACTTTTGAAAACCCAGGATGTGCTTTAAATAGCCTCTTTTTAAACTTATCTTTGTTTTTTTATTGATGAAAGTGACTCATTTTTAAGATAATCTCCACAGAGATGTACGTTTTACACATTGTTTGAGCTTTTGTGTATATACTGTAAAGTATTAGTAGCAAAAACACCATTAGTATTTATTATTTGTGCAAATATCTATCTTAGATTCAATGTCAGTTAAGAATTCTTGTGTTTTCCCTCGTTACAGGCTGTGGTTTATGAGCAACCAGGCTTTGAGGGCTCCTTTTTGGAAGTCGACAGTGATGTTTTCAGCTTTAGCCAGGCTGATGGAGGCATGGCCACAGACGGAGCCGACCTCGACACAAATGAGCTCAAGTCTGTTGGATCTTTGAAGATAATTGGAGGACTGTAAGTGTTCATCTCACCTTTCTATTCTTTCCTTGCACAATATAAAAATAAGTGATAGTTTATGCTCGGGGCAAAGATTACTCAAGACCCCATTAAATGTGCTGGCACCAATTTATTTTGATTTTATGCAATCCAGTCCAAATCAATGCAGCTCTGAAGAGCAGTTATTTTCCTCTTCCAGCTGGGTGGGCTACAGCCAGCCTGGGTTTGAGGGTCAGCATCACATCCTGGAGGAAGGGGAGTACCTGGACTGCAGCGACTGGGGAGGCGCCGAGCTTCTGTCCCTGCGACCGATACTTTCTGTGAGTCCCACATTTAAACAAACACGCCTCACACCTTGGTTCAGCTAAAAGTAGTTTAAAACCAGAGAAACTGAGTGAATGCTGAGCGCTGAATGACTTTGCTGAAATTTGCTGAAGAAGCTGAAACTGTGGGGTTTATTTAAGGTAAAAGAACCAGAGCACTAACTAAAACAGCAGCTAAATGCTAGCTAATAGCTACAAGGAGCAAAAATCTAGCTAAAAGCTGAATGTAGCAATAAGCAAATTAAAAGTTAAAGTATCAAAATGCTAGTTGGAAACTAAAAGAAAAACAATAGATAGTAACCAAAACTAGCAAAAGGCTAGCTGAAACATAGACTATGAAACTGTAGCTCGAAGCCGAAAATAGCAAAATACTAGCTAAAAGTAGCAAAAGGTTAGTTAATGGTTCAAAAGAAATGTTATCTAGAGGTCAAAAGTGGCAAAGGGCTAGCTAAAAGTCAAAAAGCAAAATGCCAGCTAAAAGTTGCAGAAAAGAGAAAACTGTTAAAAATGGCTACCTAAAAACAAAATGTAGTAACATGGTAGCTAAATGCAGCAAAGCTTTAGCCCGAATTTAAAAATAGCCAAAGACTGGATAAAAATAGTTAAATATAAACTAACATAGTTGAGCAATAGCTAAAAATTAAACGCGACATAAAAAGATATAAACAAAGCAAATGATGCAAATTTCATTTAAAAAAAACTGTTTCTGAAGAATCTAAAGATGTCCCAATATTTTCTTATAGGGAAAGCATTTATAAATTAATGATCTAAAAAGTGTAAATGTCTCAAGTCGTAGCACCCATCTTAATATAAATATAAATGGCTAAAAAAAAAGACAAAAATATGCAGACGTAGTTAGACTGCAAACAAAGCATACAGAATAAAATAATGGTGTGAAATGTTTCACACGATAAACTTAATTTATGATAAAACAGTAAAAATAAAGTTATGTTTAGATCAAAAGGTGAGCTTGACACTAATGTGAAAGCTAGAATTTGTCTCGGTAAAATAGAGACAGTTCTGTCTAAGGATGTGCGTATTTATGTGGCATTGGAAAGCTCCCTATCTATTAAAAGTTGGATAATTTTTTTTATTTTTATGTAAGAGTTGACTGGGGAATTAAAAAAGACCCCAGTAGCAAAAAAAAAGATAATTAATTCCTGAAACCTAAGATAGAAACTTCACAATATTATCTTAGTGCTTTCCTCTCAATGCACAAGTCAAACCAGAAAGGCTGCAACCTTGTCATTCTAATATATGCTGAATCTACCTAATCATGTTTTCTCAGTGTGCTTGTTGGATAATGACCACATGCAAGCTGGACAAAAGTAAAGGAGATCAAATGTTCAGTTACAGAAAAGCAGTATAAAGCCAAAGAAAATCACAAAAATGATCCACAGATGCAAAACAAGTCACTAAATTGTCCTCTGGTGGCTTTTGAACGTCAAGGATTTCATAAACAAATAGATTTATTAGACAAAATGTCCCAATCCTTAAATCACAAAGTTGTTGTTGATATAAAAACAAACAAAAAAAAAAAAACCAGAGCCAAGTGTGGACGTCTGTCCTCAAAGAGAATGTTAGCAGAATGTTAGAATAATCTGTTTTTTAGCTGTTTGGCGCTCCTTTCCGATTCTTTCTGCTAACTACAACATTTTTGTGCGTCTTCTTCGTTCTGCTAATTTCAGCTTGTTATGCTCCTTTCAGTGCCTTTCTGCAAGTCGCAGCTGTTTCTGCTATTCCAGCTACTATTTAGCTGTTTTTATACTAATTTTAGCTTTTTCAGCTAATTCCACATTTTTTGCATTCATACTTTTTTCAGTTTAATTAAGCAAAAATGTGCTCTCTCTCTCCATTTCTTTCTGATAATTTAAGCTTCTTTCTGCCTTTTTAGCTACTTTTCAGCTGTTTTTGCTCATGTCAGCTTTTTCAGATAATTTCCACTATTTTGTGCTTATTTCTGCTTCTTTCGTCCTAATTAACTTCTTCATGCTAATTTCAGCTTGTTGTTCTCCTTTCAGCTTTTTTCCTGCTAGTTTCTGCTTTTTCTGCTCTTTCAGCTACTATTTAGCTCTTTTGATGCTGTTTTAAACTTTTTCAGGTAATTCCACCTTTTTTTTTTTTAGCCTTCTTGTAGTTTAAGCTTCTTTCTGCCTTTTCAGCTACTTTTCAGCTATCTCTTTTGATCATTTCAGCTTTTTTAAGCTAATTTACAAAATTTTCTGCTCACTTCTGTTCGTTTATACCTAATTCAGCAAATATATATCCTTTCTACTTTCTTCTGTTAAATTAGGCTTGTTCTTCCATTTCAGCTACATTTCAGCATTTTTTTAAGCCTATTTCAGCTGTTTTTCAGCAAGGTCTTCTGCAATAAGCATTCACACTAAATTTTTGCAGTGAATGCAATTTATCTAGTTTGTTTTGTTAAACTGTCACATTAGTCTTCTTATTCATATCCTGACTTGCTCATCGGTTTATTTCTGCAGGATTTCTTGTCTCCGCACTTGAAAATGTTCAGCGACAAAAATTTTGGCAAGCTGGGCATGAACATCGACCTCACCGTGCCTGTTATCAACATGGACAGCACAGGCTACGGCTTGAAGACGCAGTCTATTGATGTCCTCGGCGGCGTGTAAGTGACATTTATTAAATTTATCCCTTTGAACTTCTCTTTTATGATCAGTAATGGAAAACAGAAGGTCAGGACAGCCTACTTCACATTTATTCTTCTGCTGATGCCATTTGGAGAAAATCTGCTCCAGTCACATGTTACAGGTTATAGTGGTTTATGCAAACACAGTTGTATAAACGTTATTGATGTTGATTTCGTATTGCACATGTTGGTTCAAAAATTGAGGCTCTCACAGTTGCAGCTACTTTCACTTTAAGATGAGCGCGCATTTTTGTCTCCACGTGCACAGACACGTCCCGGAGTTGTTCTTGGAGATTAAAACCTTCAACAGCATGTGGAGGACTGGAGCCATTCCTGAGTGTAAAAGAATTATATGGAGTGCTGGGAAAGCAGCCAGCTGGCCAAGTGAGGACACTTAAAGAGCGCTGTGCTGGGAAACAAACCTGGACAACAGAGCTGCTACCCTGGTTCAGTTTGGGCCAACCCCACACTGAGCAATGATACGACTGCTTATTGTTGCCAATATTCGCCCCTTGCTAATAAAATGGACTATTTCCATCTGCAGTTACACACCCAGACCTGTGGGTTTTGTTTTGAGCTTAAATTTGTCGCCATAGCGATGTCTCTGGCTTACTTTTCTAGTTGGGGAAGCTCACTTAAGAACCCAAGTGTCAATCTTTATTGTTTGAGATAAATCATGATGGAGTATTGATGGCTACCATGGAGACGATGAATGCGGGCTCAAAGAATGAAGTTGATCAGGTAGCCGCACAGATTGCTGAGAGAACAATTTCCTTTGCTACCTGGACTTCAAGAGATGTGACGGGTGCTGCTCTCCTCCCAAGTTTTGATTGATGTTGCGATATCAAAGACTGTATATTAGGGCTATTCAAGTAAACTGCTCAGGGGGGCACAGTTACTGAAAGCCAAGAGCCGGACATCAAGCAGTTATTGTCATTAAGCAAGTTTGTTTTATGGTTTAAAATCTGGTTTTATTTAAAAATGAACCCATTGGTGGGCCGAACTGAGCTCACCTGTGGGCCTGATTTGGCCCCCGGTCCGTCAGTTGAATAGCCCTGCTGTGTATTTTATAAACCAGCGGGCTTCGCCTCCTCTTGTTGTTGGGAACTGAAGCTGGCGGGACCTGGTTTGTGGGAGCTGCCATGTTGTATTCATGAAACCACAAGCTTTATACTGTGGGGCTTTAAGTCTCGGCCACTCCCCCGCACACAACCATGGTGTCACATGACCTTTCTTTTAAACATGAAAGAACAAATTACATCTTCATATATTTAAAAAAAAAAAAAGAATATTTGCAGCGGCAAGACAAGAACTGTATAAATCAACAAGAGTCGATATATGATCGCATGATCTGAGGTGTATTTTTTATTTATTTTTGACCTAAGGCATCACATTTGTAAATCTTAAAATGTGTTCGGGAACAAGCCTTCAGGGAGTCCTGTTGGAGGTCCAGATCTATATAGACTGTGCCTTACATTAGAAATTAAAGCAATCTAAAAGTTCTGAAATTGTGCTCACGTGAACCAAATAAAACTTTTTTGATACAGGAGCTGTTTTAGGATGGCATCAAGCCTTTATGGTCTTGGCCCTACTCAGACTAGCTGTTAGCTTGTAACTCTAGTCAGACTTAAACTCAATTTTTCTAAATTCGGACTATCCACAACAGGTAAGATATTCATCGTTCAGGACATTTCCAAAGAAACACACTTCAAATGATCTCAACTATAATTTTAAGCAAATTTGTCTTTCAGCAAGCTTTGATCACGCTTCGTTGAAAACACAGCTTCATTCCCAACCTGCTGAAAGCTTCCAGGAACATCACGCTTCCCTTTAGATGGATTTTCCCTCCCTGCAACCTTTTCATTAGTCAGGACCAAAATTCCTGCAAAGTCTTGTGTTGGTTTACCGCCATTCTTTGCTGCTCAGGTGTAACGGCAGAGCGGCCACACCCAAGCTGACAGGTCATGACAGATAAGCAAACTCGTTAATGTTTTAGCCTTCCACACACCAGTTCTCTGTGTAGGTGGGTTGGTGTTGGATCATGCTGCCTCACATCCTGCAGCTATAGGGGGTGTTCAGGAAAATCAGGCTGACTGGGCAGAGGAAGCACACGTCCACCTATTGTTAATGAGAATTTACCGTATTTTCCACCGTACACGTTGCACCGCTCTATAAGTTGCATCAGTCCAAATATGTCTAATAAAGTGCAAAAACCCATAAATACGTTGCATCTATTATGCGTCACCACTGACAACCCGGAAATGTGGGCTGGTGTGCCAAAAATCGATTGGCTGCAAAATGGTGGCTGCGGGAGGATTTTAACAAGAGTAACACTTAAAAACAATTATTTGTTTGCTCAAAATTATAGCAAAGGTGTGTCTCAAGTGAACTTTTACTTAATAAATGCACTTCATTGATCAAATCAGCTGCATTTTGTCGAGGCGTCGCAACAAAATTAAGCTGATTTGACAGTCGCTCCAGGTGAGATGGACGAAAGTGGCAGTCTATGGCAAGCCGACTGTGTCATTAATAGCCACTTTTATCTATTACATGACACAACGGTATGCCATACCACTCGAGTGCTATCTACTGGCTGAAAATGGTAGTGTTCGATTTTGTCAGTCAGAATGAATGAAAACAGTCATGTCTCAGCCAAAATTTGGTTTATAAATTTGGGAAAAAATCCATAAATATGTCGCTTCAGCCTATAAATATGTAAATTATGCAAAAAAAAACCCCGCAACTTATAAGCCAAAAAATATGGTATTCATCATCACCAGCCAAGGAGAAGTAAACCCATGCAGAGGCTGTTTCTGTGTACGAGTTTGCTTATAGTACAGTCAATGAGGAAAAATGCAGAAGTAAACAAACCAGAAACAAATAAGAAAAATGAAATGCAAAGCATGAAGTGGCGATTGTTTCTTCCCATGAGAGACACCAACAAAATGGTTACTAATGTGGAATGGAACATCATGTCCTGCTTCACGAGGCAGGATTCTCAGCAGAAACATTCTTGCTGCGCTGCCAGCCTGCTATTAGACGGCAGCGCCTCACCCACATGTGCTGCCGTTCCTCTGAGCCTCGGCTCGCCTCTGTGCGGTTTGAATTCGACTTGAAACAGAGAATGCTTGTTTTGTAGTCTCGCACAGTCCACAAATAACCAAGTATTTTTCAGACTATAAGGCGCATTTAAAATCTTTTTTTTTTTTTTTAAATCGACAGTGAGCCTTATAATCAGGTGCGCCTTATGTATTAACTCTGGTTGTGCTTACTGACCTCGAATTGATTTTATGTGTTACAGCTGAACAATGTTAAGAGTTATTGTGAATGAGTTGAATAAAGTTCTGACTGTTTTGTTTCACTTAATGCGCCTTATAATCCGGTGCGCCTTATGTAGGCCTGTCGCAATAATCAATAAATCAATTAATCGCACGATAAATGAAAATTGTCAATCTCATTTTCGTTTATCGGCTTTATCGTTTCTTCGTCTCTCTCTTTCTACTGAAGACACTGGATGACAAAGCTTAACTCTATTGCTCTTCACTGACCCCTCCCTTTCTCTTTTCTCTTTAAAATACATTTTAACCGTCCAAAATCCTGTTTTTGGATCGTTAAAAGCAGCGAAGCTGAGAAGTTAAGCTAAAAGCTAAGCTAACAGGCCGACCTTGAGAAAAAACCTCAGTCTAATCAAAGCTCCAAAATTCACGGTTGAAACCCGCACCTTCAACTGAAAAGTTGTTTTTCTCTGCAAAAAGAAGCTGAGAACTTGTTTACTGATTTTGTTTATTAAAAGCTTCGTGTGAAAAATGCTATGCTAAAGAGCTCAAACCACACTGTCCGCCATTTTGAAAACCAAAAAACAGGAAGGAGAGACAGCCCATGTCACGTCAAGGGCCTCCCTCACATTTTTCTTAAAGAGACACGCTGCTCACTCCCTCACTATCCATCCTTCAGTTCAAACAGTCTTATACTGCCATCCGGTGGTCAAAAAAAGATACTACACACAAAAATTAGCCAACATTTCTTCTTAAATTTGACAATAATTACTAATTATTGTCAAATTTCAAACAATATTATCGTTTATCGCAAGTATTTCTTAGACAATTAATCGCCCAGCAAAATTTGTTATCGTGACAGGCCTAATTGTGAATGAGTTAAATAAAGTTTGACTTATCTGACTGTTTTGTTTCGCTTAATGCGCCTTATAATCCGGTGCACCTTATGTATGAAAACAGACCCGTTCATTGATATTGCGCCTTATAGTCTGAAAAATACAGTAAAGCACATCACGTTAGCCAAGACAACAACTGCTAACATGTTAAGTTGGAGGAAACTAACTTGGACCTCGACCAAGACGAGTTTCTCATAAAGTGAACAGCTTCTTCTGAATTCTTGCGGGTTTTCTTTGGAATTGTGGACCCATCAAAGGCTGCTAATTAAAATAAAATGAAAATGGAGCAACTCTGCTTCTTGTAACATAATCTGACACATCCTTCTTTGTTTTCTTCTTTCAGCTGGGTTGTGTTTGAAGAGCCGGGCTTCTGCGGCGAGTCCTTCATCCTGGAGAAGGGCCTGTACGGAAGCCCGGAGGACTGGGGGGCGCTGCAGCACAGAGTCGGCTCAGCTATGCCCATACTGCTGGTACGAACAATGACTCACATGCAAACCACGATAGCTTAATGTTTTGCGTTGGTGGAAAACGTTCCTGGTTGTTACTCAGAAGCTCCAGAGACAGTGATATTTTATGTTCAGTTGCTAAAACAAGTCTGTGTTTTCCCTCGAGCTGCACGGTTCGATATTCTCTCACTTCCCCAAGTGAAGGTTCCTGCTTGTGACATTATTAGATTTATGAACGGAATAGAAGAGTCAGTGAGGTGACTTGCAGCAGTTTTATCTGTGAAGGCATGTGCCTGGAGAAAGGGGGAAATGATAGTCATAAGAATTAGCGTGACCAGATCTTAGCTCATGGACGTGACTCATCGTGAAGCTGTTTTGGTTTCTAACAACACGACACACACACACACACACACACACACACAGTTCAGACAATTCATCGTCTACTGTAGCATAGCAGCCACACTCAGAATCTACTGTCAAGGTCAGCTTGAATTAAAACCATTCAGACATTTAGGAGTAAGATTACTCATCACCTGCCGCCGAAAGCCAAGAGGCATCTTTTTGTTTTTGTGTAGTGTTAGCGAAACATCTCCCAAACCACTGAACATATTTGATTAAAACTCTCAGAAAGTAATCAGTGGAGGAACATCTACAACTGATTGTGTGAACGGTGGTGAAGTGTTCACTCTATTGCGATCCATTTCTCTTCCGTGCATTTTTCGGCGTGCTTCTCGTCCCGCAGTTTTCAAGCTATTTCAACAAATTACATATCGCAACGTTCAGCTCTTTCCGGACAATCATACTATGACTTTTGGTATTGGTGCGACTTTAGCGTTTTAAAATATTTAGCCTTTCCTGCCATTTTTTCCCATAGAAAATGAATTGAGCTCATGTTACATCCTTCAGATCTTTAGATGTGTTTACAAATGTTTACTGCTCCTTTCACATTTTGTTCTGGTTCAGCTTCTTTCAGCTCCATTGTGCAAATTTAAACTTTTTTCATCTACTTTCAGCTAATTTCAGCTGTTTATTCAGCTGTTTTGTGCTCCTTTCAGATTCTTTCTAAAACATTTTTTGTGCTGCTTCTAACTTCTTTCTGATAATTTTAGCTTGTCATGCTCCTTTCAGCTTATCTATGCAAGTTTCAGCTGTTTCTACTATCTCAGCTACTATTTAGTTGTTTTATGCTAATTTCAGCTTTTTCAGCCAATTCCACATTTTTTGAACTCATTTAAACTTTTTTCAGCCTAATTCAGCAAAAATGTGCTCTCTCCACTTCCTTCTCGAAATTTAAGGTTCTTTTTGATTTTTTTTTTTTAGCTACTTTTCAGCTGTTCTTTGCTAATTTCAGCTTTTGTCAGATACGTTTCATTTTTTTCATGCTCATTTCTGCTTCATTTCTGCTTCTTTCAGCCAAATTGGGCAAACATATTCCTTCTGCTTTCTTCTGTTAATTTAAGCTTGTTCTATCTTTTCAGCTAACTTGTTTTCATTTGTTAGCTAATTTCAGCTGTTTTCGGCAAAATTTGAGTTTACTTGGTAATTTCTGCTACGTTCCGCTTAATTAACTTATTTATTCTAATTTCAGCTTGTTATGCTCTTTGTGCACATTTAGTTTTTTCAGCTAATTCCACATTTTGTAGCTCATTTTATCTCATTCTTGGTAGTTTAAGCTTCTTTCAGCCTTTTCAGCTACTTTTCAGCATTTTGTTTTTTAAATTTTAGCTTTTTTAGCTAATTTCCTAATTTTTTTGCTTACCTCTGCATATTTAAACCTAATTCAGCAAATATGTGTTCTTTGTGGTTTCTTCTGCTAACTTAGGCTTGTTCTTCCATTTCAGCTACATTTCAGCATGTTTTTACCAAAATTCAGCTGTTTTTCAGCAATAAGCATCCACACTGCATTTTTGCAGTAAATGAAATTTCTTTAGTTAACTTTTGGTGTCAATTTCCTCCAACTTAACTATCACAACTGTGCAACTTATCAAACAGAAAAGTGGCTAAAATGCAGCCTATTCTACAGATACTGAGCTAAAATCTGGTGTTTTTATCATGTTCTGTGGAGATTTTTAGAATTTTTAGCAGACAGACATGAGGGACCAAAGGAAAAATGAAGAAAAGCTGATTTATTAACAAAAACTCAAAATAAAGCTGACGTGGCAGCAAAATTTACCAGAATACGGAGGAACAGAAACACGACAGGTTGTGGGAAGCACAATCCACAGACAAAGTAGAAACACAAAGACGCTGAAGAGACACTAATGACAGATAATGACGAACACCTGGGGAACGTCAATGAAGAACGGGTGAGAGTGGCAGGAGCTGGAGCCGAGGAAAAACAGACGACACAAGAAAACAGAACTAAAACACAAGGATCTCAAAAAGTAAACCCAGATTCTCACAGTTTTAGTAGCTGAGAGTCATTCACAACACTTACTCTGAGTGCCGAGATGTCACAACACTGCATGAGATCCTGCATAACTGCAAGGTTTGACCAAAGGGTCTACAACTTCATTTTTGTTCTCCTCTGTAAGATAAACATAGTTTTAAACTGGGGCATGAAAGGCAGCAAGATGCTAATTGATGGTTTACTTTCAGAAAGGAGCAATTCAGAGTAAACTAAATGACAGAGCCATTACAGCAAAACAAAGACATCTGTCACTTTTTAGGAAAAAAAAAAACCGAAAAACAAACCACCTGCTGATAAAGCTATGAATGGCCCAGTTTGGCTGAAGCAATTTACTAAAATCCAGAATATAAAAAAGGAAACGTTTTGCTTAAGGAGTATTAAAATCAAAACTAATGGCTTACAGTAGACTGAGCCCCCCCCCCCCCCCCCCCCCCCCAGTTCTGGATCTGGCTGTATTTGATGCAAAACATAACAAACGGCATGTTTTAAAGGTTTTCTGATGCACTCGAGCTGAGTGGAATGACTAAAATTCACGTAGGATTTGTTGTCTTATTTCACGTATGCAGCTGATGCTTTTATTCACTCACTCTTTAATGACTCCGATCTGTAATTTTCATCAGGAGGAGAAAAACGTTGGCTTCCGTTGGACCTTGTTTCATTTAAATTCGCTCTCATTATCATTACGATGGAGGTTACAAGCTTTACAGTAATTTCCCCAAGTATCAGTTCATCACAGAAACCAAGGTTGTTCAGTTTCACCCTGACGATATGGGGACGTTCGTCAGGTGGAAGTTTAAGAAATCAATCCAGGACTAAAGGTGTGTTATAATAACCATGTTTTAATTTAGAGTTGAATGGCTATTACATTCACCGGGAAAATCCGATTAGCATTTGCTGCTAAGGCTCACACGAGATGTAAAGAGCGGCTGTAGATCAGGGTGTAGGAGCAGAAAAGACATTACAGGACAGATAAAATCTCATCAGCGCTGAAAGACCAGGACATGGCAGCCTGCCAGACTAATTCTATCAAATGTTTCCAGAAAAATTGGATGCTACACTCACAAATAGGTACGAGGAATCTAATTAAAATGTAACCCTTTCCCTTCCTTTTTAGACTGGAAATAATAATGTGGACTATGAAACCATGCAAACGTCCAAGGATACCAACAGCAATAAAGTCCATGCTGGATCATGAAATCTATATTATTGCATGTAGTTTATATTGAATAGAAGAAAAAAAAATACACGTATGACTTTTTATTCATTTCTAAAGCATAGATTGTCTAAACTGCTATAGCAATTTTTAGTTAGATACATTTACATTTCTATCTTTTGTGATGGAGTCTTTGCAAATCATCAACGACATCATTGCATAAGCATTGAAGGAATAATTGGGGACTGCATAAATATGCAGACCCCTATTATTATCCACCCAACTTGGGTTTCTTAACTTTATTTATTTAAATCTAATACACTGTTCCGTCAACTTTATTGCGACCCGAACTGCAATGTGTACCCCCCACAAATGTTATATCAAAATGACCGGCTCGGCGCTGTGATGTGTGCTGTTACTTTTATTGGCGTTTCGAGTTACTATGGCGATGTATTTTGCTAACAAAGATGCCATATTTCCCCATAGGTAATGACTGAGAGAACACGATCTCATAGTAACTGTCGCTGTCATCGCATGACTTGGAGTGTAGAGGTCCCTGAAGAAAACAGGAACTCACTGTTAGATTTGTTTGAAACTCACAGGAAGTAATCATCAGATCAAACGGGTCACAGGAAGTTGGACTTTACATGTTTGAACTGGCATTTTGATAATAGTTGTGTTTTTTACATAATTACATTTTAAGTTTTATAATTTTAGAACATTTTCCATTGAGTTTTCGACTGGCAGCTGACGATGTCACGCTTGACTTTTTGAAATGTCTAAATATTTTAAAACCTTCTTATTTGCACAACTCCTTTAGGAGCTTAAACGCATTATACAACAAAATATAGGAGTTTTGGTTTTATTTCACTTGGCGTGTCTCTCACTGCTAAAGGACTTCTTTATTTTTCCTCAAATCCCCCCAAAGAGAGTGCACACCCAAGCTTTAAGACATCAGTTATATTTTATTCAAATATTGTCCTTAAAACTGGAAGTGAAGTCTTTTTAACTTGTTATGACTCCTACATATATTACTGTAGAAATATACAAATTTATTTGTGGCCATTAGAGTCTCATGCTGCTCATATTCACAAATATCTGGTTATAATGTTTGCACAGCAACACTCTGAGTTTTAATCGGCAGTCTGTTTATGTCTGCCTGTCTTGAGTTTGCTGTCAGAGAGTGAGAGACACATGCTTGTGGTTACCATGGCGACTATAATGAGCCGCTGGACGCAGTTTTACCATTTCTTTGCATCTTGATTGTCCTTATGCTTCTTATGCAGTGCACTACATCTGAATGGAGGCATTTTTATTTGTTTACATTATTACAAAACTGATGTTGGTGTTTTGAACAGTACACACTTTTTTTTTTTCAAACATTTTCTAATGTTTATTACTCTCATTTCATTTCAGGATGATTTTGAGAACACCACCAAGTTTAAGGTAGGTTATGTCCACAAAATGGATGAAAAAAATAAATACCTGTGGTTTTGTGTGTCCTATCTGATGACGTGTGTGAGCGGATGACTCATGCTCCCTGCATGTTCTGTGTCTGTGCCTCAGGTGCAGCTTTTCTCTGATCCGGGCTTTCAGGGCTCTGTCCTCAACTTGGAGGACAGCGCACCCTTCCTGCAGGATGGCTTCTCTGTGGCCTCCTGCAAGGTCCTGGCTGGCAGGTGAGCGAGATGCTGCCCACTGTGGAGAAAACCCTAAAGATACATTAGAATAAAAGCACATTAGTTAAATCCATCAGTATAAATCGGTATTACTGTATTTTTTGGAGTATAAGGCGCACCGGATTATAAGGCACAACATCAGTGAGCGGGTCTGTTTTCATACATAAGGCCAGCGTTTAATTTGAGCCGGATCCTGCCAGAACAAGAGAACTCTCTTATTTTGACACGGTGCGTTCTGGCAACTCTTTGCTTGGAGCATAATCTTACTAATAATACAGTTATGAACAAAATATGGCTGTCTTGTCCTTTTGGGAGCCGTGCTTGAACCGTGTCGCTCCCCTCTGCTGCTGAGACGATACCGTATTTTCCGGCGTATAAGTCGCAGTTTTTTTTGTATAGATTTGTCAGTCCTGCAACTTATATACATTTTTGCCTTTGCCATATTCATAACAATTTTTGACTGATTCTTTAAATGTTCATTCATACTGACATAAACCAGAGTAAGCATTACCATTTACAGCAGCTAGAGCCCCCTCTATGCTTTTGACAACTACCTGTAGGCGTATATGTTGTTCCTGTACCTCCCCACAGCCAAACATTGACCATTAAAGTGCATTTATTAAGGAAAAAGTTCAACTGAGACACACCTTTGCTATAATGTCGAGCAAACAAATAATGGTTTTTAGTGTTAATCTTGGTAAATTTCGAAGAACTGCAACAGCGACTTTGACTTTTGGACGACACCGGCCCACATTTCCCGAGGGTCAGTGGTGACGCATAATAAATGTGACTTATACGCCGAAGTGACTTATATATGTTTTTTCCTTCTTCATGATGCTTTTTTTGACTAATGCAACTTATACTCCGGAAAAAACGGTAAATAAATAACTCCGACACCTCCGCTGCTGTTTTTATGACGCTCTGGATGCTTTTCAGCCACAGCACGCATGCAACAAAGAGTAAACTCAAAGCGAGAGCGATACCCGCCCCTCTTTTTCTCTTTCGCTTTAACAAAATTTTTTAGTGTTTTAGTTTGGCAAAGCACAATTTTGATGCTTTTTTTTTTTTTGTAAATACAGAAGTAATGTTTAATAAATGTTAGGACTCTATTCTTTGCTAACAATATATATATTTATGTCATTAAACAACTTGTCAGGTTCTTGTCTTGTGAGCATGCGTGTTCCCCAGGACCCCCACCCCCAGCCAGCCCGCACACTAATTGCACTCTGGCATCGGTCGGTTTACAATTTAAGCCCTGCATAAGAGGCGCACCGGATTATAAGACTCACTGTTGATTTTTGAGAAAATTAAAAGGTTTTAAGTGCGCCTTATAGTCCGAAAAATACAGTATTTGAAACACTTTGCAACAACAACCCAAAAGCAGATTTTAGTTGAAGGTAATCTGCTGGATTGCATTACCGCACTTTCAAATTGATATCCCATAAAGTAGCAGCTTTGATTATCTGCATGCCTAACAAATCTACATTCATGCATTCTGTTGCTAAGCTCAGTTAATCAGTGAGAAAACAAAATCTTCAAGCCATAATGATCACACGTACTCGAAATCACTCTCTGGCAGCACATAAATATTGGAAATTCACATTCTAAGCTGTTTTTAATTATTCCATTTTCCACCTGCATGCACATTTACATTTATGCAAATGCATTTCAGTTGGCAGGCATTTGAAGGCCAGACCTTCACAGGGAAGATGTACATCTTAGAAGAAGGGAGCTACCCAGATCTGAGAGCGATGGGCTGCGTCAGCGGGAGCTCGTCCATCCTGTCTCTGCAGACTGCTGGATTTGTGAGTCACCGTTTAGATTCTGATGATACACTTCCACCAACGCCTTTGTGCTGGTTGTTAATCCTTGTAAAAACACAATCTGTTGAATCGTTCAACAAACATTTTATTTAACTGCATTCTGTGTGACTCACAACGTTCAAGAAGTAATAACTTGCACATTAGTAGAGTTACCCAGTTAAAAAAAAGGAATTATTGTATTTTAATAAAACTGCCTATTTAATATATGCAGAGTTAGGGAGTAACTACAAGTCACAGCATTAAATACTTTATTTAAAACTAAACATAACTAATCTATTTAAGATACATAAGGAAAATATGTGATTCAAACTATAAGTATTTGTGAAAATATTTACAATCACAACTTTAGTTTAATTTTCTTTAAAAACATGGTGTGAACGCTGATTGACTTAACTGAAATTAACTGAAGCTGCTGAAACTGAATTGGTAATGCTAAAAGGAGCAAAACACTCATTTAAGGCTAAAAGTAGCAAAAGGCTAGCTGAAAATGTCAAAATCGAGCTAAAAGCGACAAAATACTAGCGAAAAAACAAAATAACAAAAAGCTAGCTAAAAGTATTGTAAGACTAGCTAAACATATCAAATGGTTAGCTAATAGCTAAAAGTATCAAAATTGTAGTTAAAACTTGCAAAATGTTAATAAATTTAACTTTTTAGGAGTTGAATATTAGAGAATAAAGACAGGAACTGAAAGGAAACGATGTTTGCTCTGCAGGTTTGTTGAATGTATCCTGCACATGGACACTGTTGGCTAACAAGTTTTCCTAATTGCCGTAAAAATGGAAGATGTTAATCTTGTTCTTCTGTTTTCTACTGCATTTAAAACAACATATGAGATCTTTTGACGTGGCGTTCTGCGGAAAACTTGCAGTATGAACAATAAACACCTTGAGCTAATAGCTAATCCAACCAGATGTGGATTGCTGCTATCTGTATTCTAAAAATCTTTAAATTGCCAATAATTTAGCCTCTCAGAGTTAATTACATAGGATTCTGTGGTTATTTGCCAATGCAAATAGTGGCAGCAGCAGCCGGCTGTAGCACTTCTGGTGCAGCCTGGTGCACATCCAACAGGAACACCATAATATTTCTGCACGTGTAACCATAATGTGAAAGATGTTGAAGCACTGGTTCATAAGCAGCATTAGATGAGCCACTTCCTGGTTTAAGATGAAGCAGTCTAATGTGGTCTTGGCCCTGATTTGATAAGCTTTTAGCTCAGTGATCAGCACGTATAATATTAACCGATCCCCCATTGAAAACATGGCACGTTCCTATTTTAAGAGCCAACGCTAATCATTATGTTATATTTATTTAGCACATTAGCACTCTAAAGTTTCTGCAGTGACAGACTCACACAATGTGATTCACCCAAGTTGCTTTTTGTGATTTTTGAACAGAGCATTTTTATTTAGTCTCACAAAAAGCCCCATTCAATTTGTTAATAGTTCCAAATCCGTGCACATCATCTCGGAAGCTTGTCCTCTAGATGAAAGATGAAAAGTGTTCCCCAGAAAGAAAGAAATCACCGCTCTCGGATCAATTTAGAAAACGAGCTGTCTTTTTCAGTCGACAGCCTGAGACCGTCAGAGAGAGCGAGCAGAGGTTTGAGTGTGCTCTGTTTCCAGGGTAACTTTAAAATAACCATCATTTCAACCTGTGTGACCTGCAGCTTTCAGGGTTTGTTAATGTGCCTTCTGTCTGTCTTGGCAGGAGTTTTCTCTGCCGTCAATCACTTTATTCGAGCGATGCGGGCTGCGGGGGAAGAAGGTGCTTCTCACTGACGGATCAGTCAACCTTCAGCTGGCTGGAGGCTGCGGCCGCGTCCAGTCTGTGCTGGTGGAGGGAGGCATGTGAGTACTTCACAACCCTCAGTTCTGCTGCAAACCATAGGACCTGTGAGGGACTATTCAACAAGTTACACTCTAATAATGGAGGAACATGTTTTAAAACTAACTAAACATGTGTGCTGCATGTGTGCTTTTGCATTTCAGACACTATTATAAATCTGCTGAGGGCGTTTAGAGCAGAAGACAAAGTTTTTCTTTATAATTTATTGCAATTCTTTATGATAATAATATTGCACACATTGATATGTGACACAATGACAATAAAGTTCGGATACATTGTGCATCCCTGCTGTAAATAATGAATAATTCCTCAGATGTTCAGGAAATTGAAATATTGATGTGTTCCATGTGACCGTCCGAGGGTTTCATCTTCTAATGAAAACTACAAAAAATAATAATTTGTGGTGGAAAGCCCTGGTTGAGTTGACACAACATGACCTCGCAGGAATGTGAAGCAGGCAGCCAGCTGTAACCACATGAGTGTGACAGGATCATGCATGTGCATGTTTCTGCTGGGAACCAAACCTCACGTGCTGTCAAAACAACTTTATCAACCATACAACACATCCAAAAAATGCTGTTTATTTTATTTATTTATTTTTTGTGTGCACACAAATCCCTCTGTAGTTTGAATCCCAGAAGGACCACTTCCAAATGTATTTTTATTATTTTTTTAATGTATCATCTGCCAAGTCAGCACGCTTTTATCTAATGCTTTCTTGTATTCACTGTCAGCTGTGACAGCTGCTGTGCCTTTAATCTAAAAATATCTCAGAGAAATGATGAAGTGGACAAATCTCAGCAAATGAGCCTTAAAACAAAAATAACTAGAGAAATCACATTTACTGTGAAAATGCAGTGTGAATTCTTGTTGATGATCTTGCTGAAAAACAGCTGAAATTAGCTAAAAGCATGCTGAAATATAGCTGAAATGGATGAACAAGCCTAACTTAGTAAAAGAAAGCAGAAAGAACACATATTTGATGAATTAGGTTTAAATAAGCAGAGATGAGCACAAAAATTGGGAAACTAGCTAAAATAGCTGAAATTGGCTAAAAGTAGCTGAAAGTAGCTGAGAAGGCAGAAAGATGCTTAAACTACTAGAAAAAAGTGGAATGAGCTCAAATGAGCTAGAAGAATGCAGAACTAGCTGAAAAGGGTAAATTTAGCGTAGAAACAGCTAAATAGTAGCTGAAATAGCAGAAAAAGCTAAAGCTAGCAGACGTAAACTGAAAGGAGCATAACAAACTGAAATTAGCAGAAAAGTTAGACTGAAAGTAGCAGAAATTACCATGAAAAACGTGAATTTATCTGAAAACAGCTGAAATAAGCTAAAACATGTTTTAAAATGTAGCTGAAATTTCTGAACAAGCTTAAATTAGCAGAAGAAATCAGAAAGGACACGTTTGCAGAATAAAGCAGAAATGAGCACAAAAAAATGGAAATTATCTGAAAAAAGCTGAAATTAGCAAAAAAACAACAACTGAAAAGTAGCTTAATAAGTAGAAAGATGCTTATTACCAGAAGAAAGTGGGGTGAGAGCACATGTTTTGCTGAATTAGGCTGAAAACGATTAAATGAGTACAAAAAATGTGGAATTAGGTGAAAAAGTTTAAATTGGCATAAAAACAGCTAAATAGTAGCTGAAATAGTAGAAACGGCTGAATTTTGCACACAAAAGCTGAAAGGAGCATTACAAGCTGACATTAGCAGAAAGAAGTGAGAAGAAGCACAAAAATGCCGTAGTTAGCAGAAATAATCTGGAAGGAGCACAAAAAAACATCTGAAAGTAGCTGAAAAGATTTTTAATTTACACAAGGAATCTGAAAGAAGCTGAACAGAACAAAATGTGAAAGGAGCAGTAAAATGTTGTAAACAGATATAAAGATTTGAAGGATGTAAAATGAGCTCATTTCATTTTCTTTGAGGGAAAAATGGCAGAAAAGGCTAAATATTTCAAAAAGCTAAAGTTGTACCAATACCAAAAGTCATATCACTCTTCTCCTGAAAGACCTGAAAGTTTTGATATATGATTTGTTGAAATAGATTGAAAGCTGTGGGAAGAGAATCGCGCCGAAAAACGTTCAGAAGAAACGTATCACAATAGTGTGAATGCTTCATTCAAACAATTAATTCTGGCATGATGAGAGAAGCACACATCAGCATTGATTCTCCTTTAAAAGTGTCCGCCTTTGTGATCTTTATGCGGGAGGGTATTTTTACATGCTTATTCAGCTAAATAAGGTTTCCTAACGTGACAAACAAAGATAAATGAGCTGAGATACTTTTGTACATGACTGCGCAGGCAAACAAGCTTGGAGGCGTACGCTCAGACATAATGTTTAACAGATTCTGGAAGATTGGATGAGCAGTGCAGAGCCAGCACATCTCTGTATTACAGCATGGCTCAGAGCAGCGCTGTCAGGTGGATCAATGATGGAAACCTGCTGCTGATGTGCAAGATTCAAACTGTAGGTGTGAGCCCTGCCAGGGGGAAGAATGGGCTCGCAGTGTGGCAGCGCTGTCTGTGGAGTGGCACATTCCTTCTGCAGGAGAAACAGGCCGTTTGGATCACTTACAAGAAAAGTTGGAGAGTTTAAAATCTTAGCACCTTTACGTGATTTTTTTTTTTTCAAGGTGTGCAAAAGTGAAGGCTCAAAAACTGAAGGGTGGCTATTTTTTCAGGCTTGAGTTGATTTTGTGCAATTAAAACTCCTTGAGGTTGTTAAACAAACTTAAATAACAATAAAAAGGTAACTTTTTCACAAATGTTACACAAGGCTCAGGGAGGTTCAGTAGGGGTTGGGAGTAGGGGTACTGGTGTGTATTTATATTTGACATACCATGATCTTTATGAGGTGCGGGCAGTTCCGTTGGGAGGGCAGGTCGCATTCCTTGGATAATGGT